TACAAGGGAACAAGCGTAGGAGACGTATATCCTAAGAGCTGAACTCTGTCTGTGACAATAGTAAGGTTGGAAAAAAAGGGGGAGTGGGGGGACCTAGCAATTCCATGCACAAGTCACAAACATCAGATCCCCAGAAAGTCTTACAGACTTTGTTTAGAGTCAAGTCAGCCATGACCTCTGATTTTGACCGTTTCCCACATCTGGATTCGTCAGTGCATAAGCCCCTGATCTAGCTGGGAGGTGCAGGGAAATGCAAGCGAGACAATTAGCCAATTTCTACGTCCCGGAGATGGAGTCAGTCCAGGAGACAAGCCACGGGGGCCTTAGGGTCAGGGTGTGTGGGTTAAACAAAACCACACTTCAGGGGACAAAAATGTGCTCTTAAATACATAACCCAAATGTTTGCATTACCAGGATGTCCTCCCACAAGCAGAAGAGTAACCATGAAGTGCCCCCCCCATCTCCTTCCTTCCCCGTCCCTCCCATTAAACTCTGCATCTGGTTTCGGCCCCCAGGTTGTCTGGGGCTAGTACAGCTCCGCTTGTATTTAACAACAACAGAAAGAAACACTCAGCTATCGGTTTCTGCAATAAACGGAGCAAATTGGCTTTTTGTGGAAGGGAGAGGAACACCCACAGGTATCTGTCACGTTGGTCAAATCAGGCTGCGAGTCAGGTAACAGGCCATACAATCTCTGGTTTATGCATGCGTTTGTTTATAAGGTAATTATGAACAAGGCATTAAAACTGCCAATTACTTGAGGGACGGATAAAATTTTCCTTGCAGTTAAAGTACGCTCTGGCCAAAGCCAGCAATTTCCGCAACTGCACACCTCCTAAATTGCAGTGTGAGAGCGTTCAGTTACAAACGGACCGTGCACAGTGCGTCTTTTGTCAGCACTGCTGCCCAGCACAAAAATCACTCACAACCGCCAGGATAATGGTCCCTGTATCACAGAATTTTAACTCTGTTCTAATGGAATGGAATTAAATCGAAACACCAGTTTCATGGTAGCTCTCAGACTAACTGGCAAATAACAACCTGATACGTACCAGTTAAAAAAGACACACTTGCTTTATATCAAAGAAGGGATAAAAAAGACAACTACATTAAAAAACTAGATTAAAAAAATCTTTTTAATCGCCCAAAACTTTCAAAATAAACCTACTTCATAATAGAGCAAACCACCAATAGCTGCTTCTAGGAGACAAAGATCCAATTCAACCCCAGCTTTAACTTGTCTCCAAATGTGGACAAATGCCAAAACTGAGGAACACTTTAAAAGCACTGTAGTTCATTAATATTTTTTTGGCAGGAAATGTGCACTGCTCTAACACAAAAACAAAACAAAGTGTATGACTGTCTTCTTCCATTCCTCAGTGTGGAAATGCCATCTTTCCACTGTTCAGAAATCTGCTGTAAGAGTGTTGGAAGGCGTCTGAGCCTTGTGCAAATCCATCCTAAGGACCGTGAATACTTCGGTCATCCATGTTTGCTGGGAGTACAGGGCGTCCCATGGTCGAACCGTTGCTGAGGCCCAGTATAATCAATCCCTTGTGGGCGAATGTAGGCTCGGGAGCCTGGTCACTGGAATGCACGTGGTTCCCTCAGGCCTCTCAGAGGCCACAGGAAGAGCAGGAGGCCCAGGTACTTCGGCCCAAGAATAACGGCTTCCCTCTGTCGCTAATTTCACCCTTCAGCCCACTCTGCCAAGTACCTGGGAGCAGAAGCAAGCCCGATGTACCATTTTTGTCTGGTGGTATTTGCTCGGGGAGTGCTGAGGACCGGACAGCAAACGAGACAGGTATGGTCCCTGACCTCGCAGAACTGAGATTCTGGTGGGGAGACAGGCGGCAGGCGGGAGCAGCCACCAGCGGGACAGGAGAGGAGAGAGGACGGCCTCCTGAAAGGCAGCCAGCCGGAGGGGCGTGGGCGTCGGCGTCGGCACAGCCTCCCCAGCGCAGGCGGCCAGGGTCCGAGCAGAAGCCAGCGAGGGCGAGGCAAGGCTCCCTCCCTGCGAGAACATGGAAGAAAGCCCTGGCGGGGGGAGCAGAGTTCACCAGCGGAGCCAGAGGAAGGCCAAGTGCAAGAGCAAGGTGCTGGGAGGGGAGGAGAGCAGGTCACGTGCGCTCCTGTGAACCACACCCGGCACTCGGTCAAGCAGAGGGAGGAGGACAGGGCTTCAAGTGGTGGGGCGACGGTCCCAGGCGTGCATTTTAGGAGCAGGGTGGGGGACACGAAGGGGAGGGGCGGCGGATGGATGATGGTGTGCTGGGGTAACGGTGACGGTCTGCCTAGCTACCCCCTCGGGGCGAAGCGCCATTCCTCCTCTGGTTTCCGGGGGCACAGACCATGCTCTCCTCTTCCCCTGACGTAAGGCTCAGGTTTCCAGCCCTGCAGCTTCTGGACACTGGAACCCGGTCCAGCACGACTGGCGTTCCTATCCACTCCACCCATTACCGCAGTGTCTTATGCTGCTTATCTGAGAGGC